AGACTTCTCATTATTTACAACAGAGTCATCAACATCATCAGACATATGGTTGATGGACTCGGCCTGTAGCTATCATATGTGTCCTAACAGGGACTGGTTCGTGGATTTTCAAGAAGGAAAATATGGAGTCATCCACATAGCGGACAACAGCCCTCTTACCTCATATGGAATTGGTTCAATACGATTAAGAAACCATGATGGAATGATCAGAACATTAACAGATGTTCGATATGTACCGGATTTGAAGAAGAATCTCATCTCTGTGGGAGCCCTAGAATCAAAAGGGTTCAAAATCATTGCAGAAAATGGAGTGATGAGAGTATGCTCCGGTGCACTAGTGGTAATGAAGGCTAATCGGAAGAACAATAATATGTACCGCTATCATGGCAGTACAGTTATTGGGACAACGACAGTGACATCCAGTGAGGACAAAGAGGCAGAAGCAACCAAGCTATGGCACATGCGCTTGGGACATGCTGGAGGAAAATCCTTGAAAACTCTATCAGATCAAGGATTGTTAAAAGGAGTAAAGGCTTGCAACTTGGAGTTTTGTGAGCATTGTGTCAAAGGGAAACAGACAAGGGTTAAATTTGGTACAGCGATCCATAATACTAAAGGCATTTTGGATTATGTACACTCTGATGTTTGGGGTCCTTCCAAAACACCTTCATTGGGTGGGAAGCACTATTTTGTAACCTTTGTTGATGATTTTTCCCGAAGAGTGTGGGTGTATACAATGAAGAGCAAAGATGAAGTGTTGGGAATTTTTCGAAGACGATGGTGGAGAATCAAACAGGCAAGAGGATCAAGTGTATTCGCACAGACAATGGAGGTGAATACAAAAATTACCATTTCAATAAGGTCTGTGAAAATGATGGCATCGTCTGACACTTCACTGTCAGACATACACCACAATAGAATGGAATGGCAGAATGTTTGAACCGAACATTGCTGGAGAAGGTACGATGTATGTTGTCCAATGCTGGCTTGGGCAAAGAATTTTGGGCTGAGGCAGTTACATATGCATGCCACCTCATTAATCACTTACCATCTGCTGTTGTTGATGACAAGACACCATTTGAAAAATAGTATGGAAAGACCGCTGTAGATTATGACTCTTTGCACGTGTTTGGCTCACTGCATATTATCATGTGACAGAGTCAAAATTGGATCCAAGGGCAAAGAAGACTATTTTTATGGGATTTACTTCTGGAGTCAAAGGATATAGCTTATGGTGTCATATGACAAAGAAAGTAATATTCAGCAGGGATGTTACCTTTGATGAATCTGCTATGGTAAATAAGGTAACAGAAGATACCAAATAAAATGAAGGTGCTTCTAAACAGGTGGAGTTTGAGGGAAAATTTATTTTTCCTACACAAGAAGCAGAGGAGGAAACAAATGAAGATTACCCTCTGGAAGGAGAGGCAGTAGAGGAGATTCTAACTCAGGAACCTCAACAACAACTTGAATCAATAGCAACCAGCAAGCCAAAAAGAATAATAACGAAACCTGTTCGTCTCATAGAGACGGTTGCTTGTGCAACCTCAATTGTAGCTGATGATGTTCCTACCACTTATAAAGACGCAGTCCAAAGTTCAGAAGAAGATAAGTGGAGGGTTGCCATGAATGATGAAATACAGTCCCATCATCAGAATCATACATGGAAATTGGCCAATCTCCCGAAGGGAAAGAAAACAATTGGGTGCAAATGGGTATTTGCAAAGAAGGAAGGATTTCCTAACCAAGTAGATATTCGCTACAAAGCAAGATTGGTGGCCAGAGGATATGCTCAAAAGGAGGGAATTGATTATAATGAAGTGTTTTCTCCAGTTGTAAAACATTTCTCCATTAGAATTATGTTGGCTTTGGTAGCACAATTGGATTTGGAACTAGTTCTTAAAAACTGCATTTTTACATATTTACATGGAAACTTGGAGGAGGAAATCTACATGACTCAGCCAGAAGGATTCAAAGTTGCTGGAAAAGAAAATATGGTGTGCAAACTTGAAAAATCGTTGTACGGATTGAAACAATCTTCTAGACAATGGTACAAGCGATTTGACGAGTTTATGTTGCGGCAAGGGTACAAGAGAAGCAAATACGATCATTGTGTGTATTTGCACAAGCTTAAAGATGGTTCCTTTGTATATCTTCTCCTATATGTTGATGATATGTTGATAGCTTCCAAGAATTCGGAAGAAATTGATAAGTTGAAGATTCAACTGAAGAAGGAGTTCGAGATGAAGGATTTGGGTGAGGCAAAGAAAATTCTTGGCATGGAGATAATTAGAGATAGACGTTCAAAGAAACTCTGTTTATCTCAAAAGGAATATTTGAAGAGAGTACTTCAACGTTTTGGCATAGATGACAAGACTAAGCCAGTTAGTACTCCACTTGCTTCCCATTTTAAGCTAAGTACTACTATGTCGCCAATGGATGAAGCTGAACGAGAGTATATGTCAAAGGTACCATACGCAAATGCTGTTGGTAGCTTGATGTATGCAATGGTTTGCACAAGGCCTGACATTTCACAAGCTGTTGGAGTTATTAGCAGATATATGCACAATCCAGGGAAGGAGCATTGGCAAGCTGTGAAGTGGATTCTACGGTATATTCATAATACTGTAGATGTCGGGTTAGTTTTTGAGCAGGAAGACAATCAGTCTGTAGTTGGATATTGTGACTCAGATTTTGCGGGTGATATGGACAAACGAAGATCAACTACTGGTTATGTGTTTACTTTTGCAAAAGCACCAGTTAGTTGGAAGTATACTTTGCAGTCAACAGTTGCTTTGTCTACAATAGAGGCATAGTACATGGCTATTACAGAGGCTGTGAAAGAGGCAATTTGGCTTCAGGGGTTGCTAATAGAGCTTGGTGTTGAACAAAAAAGTATCACAATTTTTTGTAATAGTCAAAGTGCTATTCAATTAGCGAAGAACCAAGTTTATCATGCAAGGACGAAGCACATTGATGTTCGGTATCATTTCGTACGAGAAATCATAGAAGAAGGTGGAGTCACGGTAAAGAAAATTCCTACTACAGAGAATCCTGCTGATATGCTAACAAAGGTGGTGACTGCGATCAAATTTCAACATTGTTTGGATTTGATCAACATTGTTGAACACTGAAGATTGAAGATGAAGACAACCAAAATTTGTTATTGAGAGAAAATTGAAGATGTGGAATTTTGTCAAGGTGGTGATTTGTTGAATGCCAAAACTCCCACATCGGTGGAAGACCAAATTGGTTGGGATTTTTTCCCTATAAAAGGAGGCCTAATGTTTAGGATTTAAACACACCTCTCATTTGCCTTCTCATCTGTTTAAGGCATTTGTATCTTCTCTCTTTAGTATTATTTCACTTGTATTTTTGGAGTGGAATAAAATATTGGTTGTGTCCGAGGAGTAGGCAAAATTAGCCGAACCTCGTAAATTCTGGTGTTCCCTTTATTATTGCTTTATTGTCTTATTTATTATTTGGTGGCTGTCATAATTTTTGGTATAGTAATTGTGACTTATTCACACTATATACATTTGGCTTCCGCAACAGTTACAAATACAATATTCCGATTATTTATATAGGTTTCATTTCAGGGAAAAATGATTCTGCGAGGTAACACGCGAAGTTGCCAAGGTGAATATGCATACTCGAAAAACGATGAGGATGAAAAGGATGACAGCAATAATTGAATCATCTATTTTGTGCAAGGTATAATTCATGATTCACTTTCATTTGCAATTTACAGTCTCTCTGTTATGAATATTTGTCGTACCTAATTTATCTACATGGCACACTACAACCAGTTGGAGGCCACCTTAGTTGATGCAACAGTAGCAATATGTTTGATAATTTTGGTTCAATGTGATGGGGTCTTGAAAAGCTGATTGCAATAGCGAAAGACAATATACGCTTCCTTGGAAATGTGCCGCAACAGAAAAAGCACGAAATTTGCAAGAATCTTAATGTTAAGTTGCGTGACCAACTCATTTGAGGCTATGACTGGATCTGTAGATTGAGTCATCTAGCTCTTCCGATAGAGGAATCAAATCAAGCACAAGTAGTATCACTAGAAATTTCCGATAAATATTGAGTGGTTTGACTAAGCATATTCAGTACTACTGGAAGACACCTTCAAGAATACTCTTTCTTTTTGGGAAACAATGGCATTTCTAAACTGCTTATTTCTGCCTTTTTTTTGGTATTTACTGCAGTAAATATTCAATTTTGGGGTTTTTAGGAGATGGGTGAGAATGTATAATCAGTCAATGTGTTGCTTCTGCCGTCTAATTTTATAAACAAGAAAAAATCATTTTTATCTGAATTTCCTCTTCAAAATGATAAAAGAATTATATTTGTTGAAGTACTTACAAGTTATTTTAGAAGTCTATGACAACTAATGCAATTTTAATTATTCATTATTGATACACTGTCTATAAATTCGCATCCTAGTTTTTTTTTCTTTCAGTTGTTTTGCTATAGGAAATGGTGTAATATCTGCTTTGGTTTGTTGAGTAAAGCACGAGTAATGAAGCCCCTTAGCCAACCCACATCTACCGCAGCGCGCACGCACGGAAACAAACATAGAGAGAACTTTAGAAAGTTGATTTTTCTTCCTCAATAGGCAAGCAATTGGATGAGTTCTCAATCTTCTGATATCACTTGCTCTCTTATGTTCTTTCTTTTTTGTGGAAAATTTACCTTTTCTATTCTTACCTTTATCCGACTTGCATCTCACTGGTTACATGTTTCTGTTGTAAAGATCTTATTATTCCCTATCCTTGCAAATGTGTACATAATATATTTATTTGTTACAAATGGATGGTGAAGCTTAACTCCTTGCCGAAGGACTATTACATGTAACTTTTCTTTAGGATTATCTAATTGTTTACCTGGCATGAAACTGTTTTCTCTTGTAGCTTTCGAATGGAATCTGTTATTTTCTCTGTGATTATAATTTTTTTATATGTTCTCCTTTTCTGGAGATTCATGGAGAGCGCAAGTGAAGCAGACTTCAGATAAGCATGTCATTATAACAAGTGAATTTCCGAATACGAGGACTGAAATTCTGTTGTTTATGTTAAAGATATGTGACTATGATTTTCCAAATAAGCTTCTTCGGATAACATTGCCCTTGTCTTAATATTGGCATCTTCTATTGTGTGAACTCATGCGTCAATTATATTTATTTGTTTATTTATATGACTTGTGCTGTGCTTTACTGCATGACATTGTCCTTGTCTTTATATATTTGTTTGCTGCCTTTTATTTTTATTCATACATGCTCTATCTCAATTTTTTTCTTTAATCATTTGGCAGTAGATTTTGAAGGAAAAAATGTATACAATGGAGAAATAGTTGGAGGAATTGAGGAAAAAGGTTCGTTATATGGAAGGTGAAAACGGGTCGGAAAGGGAAGCAGGTTTTGAGAGAACTATAGGAGATTTAGGTGGCCATCAAGAAGAAGATTAATTATTGTGAACTGTTTCCTTCTGGCTTCTGTATAGGTTTGTTTTATATTTAGGTGGTAGAATGTAGATTTTATTAGATATTACTACGTCCCGTTGTTTTGTCTTGTTAGCTTTTGATATGTAGAAGTAGTATCAGTGGTGGGCCTAGGATTTTGTGCAAGCCGGTTCAATCTTAGAAATACATAATTTTAGTTGTAAAATAGTAGTTGTCAAGTGGGTTCAAATAAAATATTTATACAAAATTTACGCAGCTTTAATCGTAATTTATACATATACACAATATTATTTTTTGATGAAGCGGGTTCAGTTGAACCCGTTTGCCACCACGTGCGTCCGCCACAGAGTACTATCAATACTAATCATCTGATCCGACCAATAAAATTTGTTGCTTTTGATTAATTTTGAGTTACATGTTTTGTTTCACCTTTTCTAAGAAAATATTTTTGGCACTCGATTTGATTGGGATCTCTTCAAAATTCATTTTCAGTAATGAAAAGAGGAGCATAAAATCTTTATCCAATTTTGTCATTTTTACATGTCCTAAAATAATCCGTATTCAATAATAAATGTCGAAAAAAGCCTACATGTCCAACTTCTAAAGATCTTTTCAATGAACTACTAATAAATATTGACTTGTAATATTGCTGCTAGGGATTGTATCTCAAATAGTAGGTTGTTAGCTTGAAACTCATGCATCTGAACTCCACCAATTAATCTTAGTAGACTATAATAACAAAGAGGATACAAATTCTAACTTATTATGTTCGGGCCCGGGCTCAACACGAGCCATACCCTACTAGTTTCTATTTTCTATTATATAGAAAAGGTTTGTTTGGTCGACCAAGGGCATAAATGACATTTGCTCTGCCATTAATTATTTAGGTATAAAACCGTTTTATTTCCTTCACAATATATCTGACACAAATTCTAGAACTCTCCCTATCTTTCTGAAGCACTACTCTCTTAGTATATCCGTTCTTCTTCTCTAATTTCAGGTAAGCCCTCAATTTTGATTTAATCTTCTTCTACTTCTTTTCAAAACTTTGTCGGTATTACGCTGAAAATAATTGTTGTTGTTATTATTCATTTTAACTTTCTCTTCTATATCCTTGTTCATCCCATATTCTAAAGAAAAGTGAATTAGTGAAGGTCTTATTTTGGGCAAAATAGTTTCTAGGTGTTGTGCAATTTCTCGAATTTCAGACTACTTTGCGAATTTCTGGTTACTATTCGATAAAGAATATCTGGTATTGTGCAAGACTGAATTTTAGGGAAACAAATGCTGCTAAATTTCATGTCACTCTCTTCAAATATCCGCTGCTCATCAGGTATCTATTTTAGGCCTTGTTCTCTGGTGATACGTTTATTGCTCAACTTCAGAGGTCTCCTTCGCTTCTTACAAGTATCATCTCTCTATTTTGGAGTATTTCTCAACTCTCTTATGTACTTTTTTCTGTTCTTCAGGACGCTTAGTTGATTTTATGGTAAATATTTTAGTGATTCTCACCTTAAGGTATTCTTAAATTAGAAATCAAAATCTATAGTCTCTAGATTTCTCATATATTTTCATTTAAACCCTATAAAAATTTATCTTTATTGGACACATATGACATACTAAATCTTATCCGAAAGAATGAAAGTGGACGACGAGCAATTAATGGAAGTGGTATAGGTGAGCATTATAATGTCTGTAATCTGTGCAAAGATATGAATATTTGTTGGCATGCGTTCTTCTATCTTTTAGTATTATATGAATGCACATATGGTTGTGACTGTTTTAAACTATTCTTTGTATTTAAAGGAGTTACATTTCCCATGCACTTGGTGTATCATTATGCTACAATCAAAACAAGTGATGTCCGGAATCTTAGTGGTATGTATCTTTTCATTAGTTTGCAAAACCTTGATTATTAATGTTGTGGCTTACTAAAACGATCAACTGTTGTATTGGCAATCCACATCACATAAATGCTGCTTTCCTTGCCTTTTCTTTTCTAATGTATTTATCTAGGACTACCTCTATTGCTTGTTTGCTTGCTTGCTTGCTTTCTTTCTTTCTTTCTTGTTCTCTGTTTTTTGTACATTGGACCCATATTATAGGTTGCTAAATATGTTAAGTTTGCTAATGAAATCTTTCATGACTTCTTCTAATGTCTTATGGTGTAATGCTATCTAGAGGTGTGACATATACCTTGCTACAAGTCTAACCTTAGTGGGTTAATAAACACCATATAATGACTTTTAGTTGATTTCCTAAGACACACATGTGACAAATTCTGGAACTACTTCTCTATGTTGAATATGAACATGTTAATATAGGAGTTTGTTCGTCAATTGTCACGACCAAAAATCCACTAAGGGTCGTGATGGCGCCAGACACCACTGTCAGGCAAGCCAACCACAATTTACTAGCAATTTCTCATTTTAATTATTTAGAAAATATTTTCCTTTAAACAAATAAATAATAACTACTAAACTCCGCTGGATAAATGAAGATGTCTTTATAAAATTTAACTACTGAAAAATTCCGTGATCATCCCAGAACCTGGTGTCACAAGTGCATGAGCAATTTCTAAGAAATAATGTAATACAACAACCGTCCGGAATACAAGATTGGAGAGAAAATAAATACAATAATCTGAAAGAGACTTGCTGGCTGCGGGTCGTCTCGGAAATGCAGCTCACCTAAGTCTTCGTGTCAACCATACTGCTACGCTCACTAGGCCACTAGAGATGCATGTGCCTGTACAACGAAAATACACAGAAGTGTAGTATGAGTACGAAAGACAACGTGTACCCAATGAGTATCCCGTCTAATCTCGAAGAAATTGAGACGAGAGGTCGACTTCGACACTTACTAGTGGTCCAATAATGTTATATCAATAATAAATTAAATCGTGAATTTTTATAAACATGATTATAGTCCGATAGGTTGAAGCAAGTAAACAATTTTCTCTTTTATAGGAAATTTCCAAATTCCTTTTCATCATTTATACATATTTTCTTAAGCCAGGAAGAGGCAACACCAACTTCAATAAGTTTCAAGGCAAGCAGTACAAACATTCTCAAATCATCCCGAAGTCGTACGGCCCGATCCAACAGAAATGTAAAATGTGCACTGTCGAGGGTCGAACGGCGCGAACCATAGATGCATCTATTACCCCGCTCGCGAACCATACATGTGACGCGGTCAAATTTAAATAAACAATCACCCTGTTCGCGAATCATACATGCGACGCATGTACACATAGAAATACATGCTCAAACAGCCAATTAAGAATTTGTCGGGGAACATTTATCCAAATAAAAGCCAATTCTCTTTTAACAATTTAAGAAATTGAAGTTTAATCCTTTTAGAAATTCATTTACCAATTCGATAAGATTTAAGCAATTCAACTGTCAATAAGATTACAGATATTCCAAGTATAGCATGCTTTTGGGTCCTAGACTACCCGAACTTACATATATTAGTAGCTACGCACATACTCTCGTCACCTCGTGAATATGTAGCCCCCACAAATAGGAGCACATAACCAATTATTTCACCTGTGGGGACAATTCCCTCGTACAAGGTTATAAAGGAGACTCACCTCGCTCCGAAGATCCATAACCGGCCTCCCACGCCCTTCCGAAGACTCAAATTGATGCACAACGCTCCAAAACTAGCCAATAATTATGCAAATTCATCAATATATGCTCAATTATTCATTACAATCCAATTTATAGCAATTCCTAACCTCGATTGAAAAAGTTGACAAAATTTCCTTCGGGCCCACGTGCCCGAATTCCTAAATTTTTCGAAGATAAAGTTTACCCATGAACTCACGAACTCAACTATATGATTTTCTCTTAATTTCATGCCCAAAATCGTGGTCAAAATTCATGAATATCAAATTTTCTTGGTCTTCCTCAAAACCCCAAAGTTTCTACAGATTTCCTTGTCTAAATCCATATATAAATCTTGTATTTACTCAAAATTAGTAGAAATCACTTACCTCATGCTTGGTGTTGAAAATGACACTCCAAAGTTGCTCCAAAATCGGCTCCCATGGAATAAATAAAGTGAAAATGAGCCAAACTCCGATTTTAAAAGAACACTGCCCAGGCGACCCTTCTATGCGATCGCAAACAATGCTCCGTGATCGCATAGGCCAACTATGCTGCCTCCCTAATGCCCACTGTGCGATGGCAACTCCAACCCCGTGATCGCATAAGCCTTCAACCTGTAGCCCCAGCCTTCCTCCTCCGCGATCGCGTTGCACTTCCTGTGATCACATAGGCCAAATTCCAGCTCCCTCAACTCTTGATCTATGCGATCGCAGACCCGCTCACGCGATCGCATAGAGTAAAAACCTGCTGCACTTATACCAGAAAACCAGCAATCCTCACAAGGCAAGAATCAATCCGTTGAGCATCCGAAACACGCCCGAGGCCCCCGGGACCTCAACGAAACCTACCAACCAATCCCAAAATACATTACGAACTTGCTAGAGGCCTCAAACAATATCAAACAATGCTAAAACCACGAATCAACCTCCAATCTAAACTTCATGAACTTTAGAATTTCAAACTTCTACATTCGATGCTGAAACCCATCAAATCACGTCCGATTGACCTCAAATTTTGCACGCAAGTCATATTCGACATTACGGACCTACTCCAACTTCCAGAATCGGATTCCGACCCCAATATCAAAAAGTCAACTTCCGGTCAAACTTCTCAAAAACCTTCAAATTTCTATCTTTAGCCAAGTGACTCCAAAATGACCTACGGACATCCGAATTCACTTCCGATCGCGCTCCCAACTCCAAAATCACCATACGGAGCGAAGACCAGACTCGGAATCCCAAACGGATATCGATAATGCTGAAATGCACTTCAAGCCAAACTTATGAAATTTCTTCCAAAATGCTAACTTCCACAATAGGCGCCAAAACGCTCCCGGGTCATCCAAAACCCGATCCGGGCATACGCCCCAGTCCGAAATCATCATACGAACCTGCTGGAACCTTCAGATCTCGATTCCGAGGTCGTTTGCTCTAAAATCCAATCTTAGTTAATTCTTCCAACTTAAAGCTTCCGAAATGAGAATTCTCTTTCCAAATCAACTCTGAACTTCCCGAAATTCAATTCCGACCACGCGTACAAGTCATAATACCTGAAGTGAAGCTGCTCATGGCCTCAAACTGCTTAACGGCGCGCTAGAGCTCAAAACGACTGGTCGGGTCGTTACATTCTCTCACACTTAAACATACGCTCATCCTCGAACATGCTAGGAACTGTGCTGGAGTTGTCCAAAATCACTGTTTAACACCTCGAGCACCTACCCGTGCTACCACAACTCACCTGGGCACATTAGCTCGATCAATTCTGAAGATATTCCCTTTTATTCAAGAAAATTAGCTTAGAGACCAATTCCAACATCTCGAATTCTCTGCCAGGCCTGCTTCCAATATGTGAACACCGTATCAATAACTACACACAGCACCAAAACATGACTGTATATCTTATCTGAATTCACACCTTACACCACTTTACTCACAAGACTACAATGACATTCTCTGATCAAATAAACCGAAATTTCACGAATCTGATGCTCCCATTGCACCTCATGACCTACTTAGGTCTTGCTCTAACTCTGCCAATACCGCCACGACGGAAGAGATGTGTAGAAATTCATAACCAGCTGCCGAATCAACAGATCATTAGGTCTATACTCCTGACAAGAACCATCACCTCATTCTGAACCAAATAATGGTCTTAGATCCTTAATATACTTCATATAATCAGATTGCACTGATCCTAAATCCAAGGATCTCATCTCACCCAGTACGAACTGCTCAGGCAATAAGCCACCCAGACATGACCAAAAGTCTCATGTGATGCCACAGTGTGCCAATAGGCTACCAATTCAAATGCGATACAAAAGGAAAACGAACTCTGAAAAGGAAATCCAATTACCCCGCTCGCGAATCATACATGCGACGCGGTCAACATAATTAAACAAATACCCCGCTCGCGAATCATACATGCGATGCGGGCACACAACTAATATGAGTTTTCCTCAGAAAGATAGGAAAGAAAACACATAAAAACAGATATGGAGAACTGTACTGAACATCACACTGTTGCGACATGCAACCCGATCCAAATAACATACCCATGGCGGCGTGTCACCTGATCCACACATAGAACTCACATAAGGATATATACATCGAGCTAAATTGCTCATTACAGCAAGATACCGAATATCGGTCACAAGCACGCTAGGTGCATAATACCATTTCCCTGGGGAGACATATAGCGCTATAAGCTACGAGAAATTTTATTTTGATTGAGACTCAACCAACAAAACTTATATGAGGCACCTCTGCCTATTTGACAAGTGGAAATATGGGTCCCACATGTCAGCTCCCTCCTTTTATCTCTCTGATACTTACGTGTTTCCCATTTCACCATCTCATTTCTATCTTTTTTACCCAATTTTACTTAAGAGTGGGTCCTACATTACTTTTTTTACCTACTTATGCTCATGTTTCTCTCAGCAGTAATATTCAATCCATTTTCTTCTTTCAGCTTTTACTAAACTTCATCATCTCTTTAATTTTGAGTTAAATGCATTTCGTTCCTCTCCTTCTCCAATGCAGTCTCGCAGAATCCAACCATCAAATATTTTAATTAACACTTTCAACTCAAACAATGATTCAAATTTAGCATATGCCACCAAAAATCAAACAATAAAATACACATAAAAATTCAAACCTAGAATCCCATATCATCACAAAAGAAAAGGTCTTCAAACCTAAAGATATTCAAAGTTGTATCCAAGCAACAATATTAAAATTAAATGATAAATGTGAAGTTGAGTTTACA